GTCTAAGGTCAGGCCATGCCTGATCGTTTCCAGGACCCAGGCGTCGGTCGTGGTCTGCTCCCAGACCTCGATGAAATTTCCTAACCGACCCCCAATGGGAGTGTCCTGTTTGGCGTCACTTGGTACGCTTAAAGGATCTGCCTCCCGCTCCCCTGTATGGGCGTCTGGACTGGAACTGGCCCCTGGCTCCCGGGCTCTGGCGATCCTGGGTTCGATCCTGTCTGGGGTAGAAGGATCGTGAGCCTCTGGGCCAGTCCCAGGATTGCCCTGATCGAAAGGGCTGTCTCCATTCCCAGGGGCTTCCTGGGCGGGAGCCCTGTCTCCGGAAGTCCTGACTGCCTCTCCTGTCTAACTTCTTTGATGGATGTACCAGGATTTTTTTCTTGTCTCTGCCTTCGCTGACATGTGGGTCCAGAATGGAGCCAAATAGGGCTACTCCACTGTATTTGGACGTCGAAAGACGCCATTTGGACCTCAGGTCTGTCTTCCAGTTTTTGAGCCATAGTAGCCTACGTGAGGCCACTGTGGCCGCAATGGATCTAGCCGCATACTTTGTTGCGTACAGTGAAGCGTCAGAGACAAATTGCGAGGCCGCGAGGAGCTTGGCCAATGTTTGGTGTACTCTGACCTGGTCTGGAGGCACCGTGCCTTGCAGTTCCCTCAGCCACATGATACTGGCCCTCGCGAAGAATGATGATGAGGTGGCTGCTCTGGCCGCCCAGGCTGCAGCCATATGGGAACGCCGGAGGGAGTGTTCAAATTTCTTCTCCTCAGGTCTCAAGACCTCCGCCATGTCTCCTGGAATCGCGGAGGTAGAAAATAATGAGATTAAGGGGTTATCTACAGCAGGAACCTCTAACATGTTAGAGAAGGAGGGAGATAGATTGAAAAGCTTCCTTTCCGCGCTGTTAGGTGTCGGTGGGCTTGCAAGTGAGGACCATTGTTCCTCCAGCGTGGTCATAAAGACCTCCGCACATGGAATGTACTTATCTTGTGGAACCTTTTTGGCAAACAGAGGATTGGCCTCCTTGCTTGATGAGGGCTTCTCATCCTGTACTGATGTTAGGTTGACTGTGGAAACTGCCTTTATCAGGAGTGATTTTAGGAGCGCTGGGTTAAAGAGGCCAGAGCTCGTCGCCTGCTCAGGTGCAGTCTCCTCGTCCTCCGAGAGGGGCATGTCTGACATGTCAAGGTCCACTGAGTCACCCTCTCCCAGTTGAGAGGAAGTTTCAGAGGTACTGGTAGGGGGTGGCCTAGCCCGACCCTTACGGGGTGTGTGAAAGGCCACTTGCCCCTTAGAAGCCATGAACTGGGAGAATGCATCCTGCATGAATGCATGAAATTGTGCCGACCATATGTTCTCCTGCGCCTTGTCGCTGGAGTGAGGCGCTGGAGTGTGGTCGGGTGAAGAAGCTGGTGAGGAAGGATTGGAGGAATCTAACTGCTCAGTTTCCCCAGGAGGAGACCAAGTCTTGAGCACTTCCTCGGCAGTAGGCTCTGTGCTGGGCGCCACCGCTGGGACAGGGGAAACCAAATCTGTCCCATTGGCATTGGTTCTCTGTGCCCTGCTAATTTGTCTTTCTAAAGCCAAATGTCTCCTCAAAGCCTCTCGCTCAGCCGTTTTAGACTGTCCCTTCTGAGAAAGGTGCTTTGTTTTAGCTTTCTTCTTCCCCCCCACCTCTGACTCAGAAGATCTGCGTTTTTGTTGTTGCTGTGGGGGGGACAATTGAGGGACCTGTGTGACTGAATACGAGACATTGTCTGCCATTGTGCCAGACACCCCGAGTAGGTAATGCCTGGAGTGGGGGAATGAGGTACGCAGATCAGATGCAGATGCTTGGGGCTGTGCCCTCTTCTGCCTATACAGACAATGGCCGGACAGACAGGATTCTTTGGACAGAAGATCCTGCAAGGCAGTGACTAAAGGTCACTATAGGAACAGTCAGGGAAAAATATTCCTCCTCACCTCCTCACCTAGTCCAGACAAGAGCAGTTTATATCTCTCTCTCCCCCAGTCTGTGGCTGTAGCAGCAGACCACGATCAAAACGGATCTCTTCCTTTTCCCTCTTCCTTCCTCTTGCCTTATTTTCTTGAGGAACCTCAGATCCTTACCTAAGGGGATCCCTTCTTTGCTTGCAGGGAAAAGGAGTCCGGGTGGTAGCCCCACCCCCAAGGGAAAATGCAGCGGGAATCCGCTTGTTCAAAATGGCGAATGGGAGGAAGCCACGCCTCCCAAAGATAGCCCGGGAAGCCACGCGGTTTAAACAATGGCGGATCTTTGAATTCAGTAGTAAGGGAGACTCCTTTGGTTTTAAGGGGCTGCGCCTCTCCTCTGAGGGAAGGAAAATAGCGTTAAGGCTCTGTCCTAGTCAGGGCTGCTTTTCGCGCCGCTCAGCTGATCGATGCCGAGCAGCGCCGCAGTTTGCCGCTTCCCGCGCGGCTCAGCTGTTTCGCGCTGAGCGGCGCCTCAGTTCTGTCGGCCGAGCCGAGCCGGCCACTCAGCTGTTTGTCGGATCGGAGGGCGACGAACAACCCGGTGGGATCCCCGCGCCAAACAGCTGCTCGGCGGGCCGGATATCGACGAGCGATCCGGCCCCGTTCCAAGCCTCCCCTGCTAGCCGCCCTGACGCCCCACTCACAACTCTGCCGATCCTGGCTGTGCCTTTTAAGTTCTATCAGCTGCCAGAGAGCTTTTCATTCAAATGGAAGGAAGAGGCTTCTTTCCCCTTTTCTTTTGGGATAAATTCCTATTGTTCTGAGAGCTGCTTCTCGCACGTCTACCAGGCTTCGAGACTGAGTTAAAACTGGGGTCACGCCCAAAGGAAGGGGTGTGGCCGAAGTTTTTACCCAGTCTGCCAGGCAGGAAGACCGTCATAGAACCCATCCATTTGGACTCTACAGCCATCCTGCTGGAGAAAACCAGCTTTCATTAGTTTGCAGCCTGCCATTGCAGAAGGTCTCTGTTGAGGGTGCGGGGCTGCAAGGGATGAGAGAAACACACACACCTTCATGTGCACTCTCTCTCTCTCTCACACACACACACAGTGTGTGTGTGATTGTGTTTGTGTGTGTCTGGGAGAGGTGGGCTAAGCCACGCAGAGGCAATGACGGGGAGGGGAAGCCTTTGCCACAGCTGGCTGCCTGTTGCCACCTTTGCCTGGAGCCTCTGGCAGCTTAAAAAAAAAGGAAGGGAGGGAGGGAGGGAGGGAGGGGCAATTTGGTTGGAAATGCCCCAGTTCAAAGGAGAAAGCTATTTTGTGTTCTGTTTTGTCACAGACAGAACTTTGTTAGCAATCCAAGTTAATATAAGTATTCTTGAATTGTGAGCTCTTAGGAAAGTATCCCCTCCTTGTATGTTGCAAACAGCCATTTCCAGTGGGGAAAAATATTTTCCTCTGGTATATTTTCAGTCTGAATTAGACCAAGGCAGGCTCCTACAGGAGAGCCTTTTTAAGGATTATGTATTAATAGAAAAACAACTAACCTACCTCTGCTCATGAAAGCTAAAGCTGTTGCACATAAAAAACAGAGGAGCTCTGATTAACTATCACCGCCACCATTTTGACACTTTTGCTGTACTGTTATCTGTGGACATCCCCACTAAATGCAAGCACGAGATAAACTGAGCCTGGTTTGTTCTCGGTTTTTACAAACTACAAGCAAAAGTGGCATTTGATCACAAGGCAAGAAAGCATAGAGAAATGTTTCCCCTTTTGCATTTGAGCATCCAAGAAGGGACAGGAAAGGAGAAAGGAAAGAGGAAAGACAAAGAAAAAAGAAGGAAAGAGGGGAAGAGACTAAGAAAGGAAAAAGAAGGAAAGAGAAGGAAGGAAGAAAGGAGAATAAAGAGAGAAGGAAAAAGAAGAAAAGGGAAGAAGGAAGAAAAGGAGGGAGGGGATTACAACGAGAGAGAGGGAGGGTCTGAGGGAAGTGCTATCTTAGCATTTGGCCACCAGCAGCCCTGCTGCCCTTTTGCCATCTCCTTGTCTCCTCATCTTGATCTCTCCTGGTGGTCTCCCATCCTATTGCTGAGGATACTTTAGTTACAAAGCCAGGTTTCCTCATATGGAGAGAGAGTGGGCCTCCCTCTGACCCACATACTTTGCCCTTCCACACACATCATGGCCAAGGAGAGCAAAAACAGCAACAGCAGCTTTGAGGAGGAGATAAGTGCAGCAGGGCGCCCTCTTGGGATAGAAGGGCTGGGCTGGGCTGTGGGGTCCCAGTGCCCTGGGAGCTCGAGGACCAGGCTGGATCCCCCCAGCCCCACCCAGACCACACAGGTGTCCCCCAATACAAGTGATGTTGAGCTGGCCATGCCCACCCTGACCACACCCACCCAACCCCCTGAGGTCAACCACAACCCTGATGTGGCCCTCAGTGAAATTGAGTTTGATACCCCTGATTTAAAACATGTTAAGCATGTTATGAACAAATTAACATGTGTGATTTATGGAATGAATTTTATTGTGTCCTCTGCAGAACTGAACAATTAATAAAATTTATCACATAAATCACACATAATCCATTTTATGTTAATTTGTCCATATATTCCACAGAGTTATAAGGTTATGTATTTATGAACTTTGCATCTCATTATAACTTCTACATCTGAGTAGCCAAAATCTAGAAAAACCATCAGGTGGCAATTAACAGATCCAGAAAATTCTATCTTTTGCTATCCTCTAGCAACAGAGGTCCCCAATCCCCGGTCCGTGGACCAGTACCGGTCCCTGGCATGCCAGAAACTGGTCCGCACAAACAAGCAAAGCCCCATCCACGGGATGCAGGCAGCACACAAAACCATGCACCCTCCGGTCCGCAGAAAAACCTCTCTCCACAGAACCGGTCCCTGGTGCCCAAAAGGTTGGCGACCTCTGCTCTAGCAGTCATCTGGATTTCTGCAGATCAATTTGGCAGCCTTTTTTCCCCTCTAATGCAACAGAAATAAAAGCTTTCCCTGGATGTTAATTTCCTGAGCTAGGAGGGAACACAATACCTGTGAGCCATACTGTGCAGCCACGAAATCCACCTTTTGTACCCAAAACTTGTCCTCTCTTGTTTCTGCTAACGTGATGGGCTTGGTACACCACATTGGTAGACCTTTGGAGGTTCTGAGTATATAAACAACATAAAAAATGTTGGTTTAGTAGCAAAATACAGTAAAAGAGCAAATTCCAGTATTACATGTTACAAAGCAGCACCCCATTATTCAAGCCTCACAGAAACGTACACCTGTATTCTAATATGCATACATGCATCTACGTGTTCCTCATGTCTTTCTCTTCAGAAGTGTTTGCCTAAGAAAACTTTTCTTTAGGGTAAGGATTTCACTTGTTCTGAGTTAGTAATAAAGGGACAGAGGACCCCTTCGAGGAACAACAAATTTCACAGAAGACTCAGAAGCTGGCCCATTAGCTTAAGTGTAGTTTACAGCTCTCCATGCCTGCAATGTCAACAATCGGGGGGAGGATTTAGGTAGAAATAAGGACATTGAACAGGTGGCAGGAATTGGATGAATTTTCAACACCCTGAAAAAGGGAATGGAGAAGGTAAGATGGAAAGGGAACAAAAAATTATGGAATCAAAGTCAGCCCTGGTCATTGCCATCAGGTTTCGCCTGTTGAAGAAACTGGTCAAAATATGTAGTAATGGAAGGATCTTTTTTTTTTAAAGTCAAAAATATCTGATGGAGACAGAAATGTTTCTCATCCTTACTGGAGAGGTCCCCAACCTTTCTGGCTCTATGGACCCCTGGCAGGGCTGACAGTGGCAGCAGTGGGAGGGGGGCAGCAATGGTTTCATGCACGCAGTCTAGATCCCGTGCATGCACAAAGGAAACTTTGCACACTCACCCACCGCCTGTGCGGCCTGGTTCCCATTAGGCCATGGACTGGTATTGATCCAGGGACTGGGCAATGGGAACCCCTGTCCTTATTGTATTTCCACTTTGACTTCAAGCTTTTAAAACACTTGGATAGAACATTAAGATCGTTCTTTTTCTTATAGAATAGTAAACCACACTGGATATAGTTGAACTGACATTGATACAATTTTGCATAGGATTATACTGTCAAATGCATCATTCTTACTAAATAATAAATCCAAGACTTAACAGCTGTCGATAAAAAAGACAAAAAAGTCTGGATAGAGGATGTTGCAGAACCTGGAGACATCAGCATAGAAGAGAAAAAAAAATGGAGAAAATTACAAAGAGCTGCAAATAGAAATAGAATGACTGTGGTGAAAGAAAGCAAAGATAGTAGCAATAGTACCCTTTCCTAACTTCTTTTTTATTAGTTTATAGTATAAAATACAAAAAAAATAATAGAAAAAAATAGGGGAGGGAAAAGGGAAAGGAGAGGGTAGAAAAGAAGGGAAAAAAGAAAGAAAAGGCATTGACTTGCGACTCCCTTTGGTGCAATAAAATAAAATAATAACATCAAACCTCAACTTTTTACTTTTACATAATAGTATAAACTAGCCATTTCTATATCAACAAATCTATCTAATTGGTAAAACCAAAAATCAAAGTTCCATTTTTTCCCACCTGAAGCACAAAGTCCAAGTAGAAACAAAAGTAGTTATTTTTTTTTTCTTTCAACAAAGCAGTCAATTTAGCCATCTCTACTAACTCCATCAACTTTTGCAGCCATTTGTCCATTGTGGGGAACAAAGTATCCTTCCATTTTTGTGCATAAAGTAATGTTAAATCAAATTCTTAAAGTGAATATAAAGATAAAACCAGAAAATTTTCTTTTGGGTTTAATGGAAAAAGACTTGGAAAAAATTTTTGGAACTTTAATGGTAGTAGCAATATCATTTTGCATGCAATCCCAAAACATCTGGAGCACCATATGAATACCACTGGCATTGACAAAATAACTGTCAGTCAATTGCAAAGGGCAGCTTTACTTGGAACAACTAAAATCTTGCAACAATACCTTTTTAAAACCATCAAACATCATCTGCTTGTCCCAGGCCCCTGCAAAGGACCCAATAGGGGTAAAAACATCAAATCCAATCTAAATATCTCCCTGACTTTGCAACAAAGTTAAATAAATATTATTATAAGTACTATCCTCATTAACTCTTACAGCTATAGTAGAAAGTAGGTAAATATTTTGATTCCCATATTGAAGGGTGCAAAGAGAAAATATGGCTCTTCTAGATGACCTAAAGAGATTTATCCGAGAAGAGAAAAATTGAACAGAGGTTTTCATCTCTCATGTTCTGCTTCCCCAGTACTCCAAATCTTCTTGGTTTGGAACCCAAATCCAGTTCTTATCCTCTTCCAAGCAGTTTGCCCGGGGAGATTGCAGTATTGCTCAAGATATGAGTGGACTCTGTATGTTATTGGAACCCCTTGCCTTGCAGAAATTCCATCTGAGTCCAGAATCCCTTTTTGACCTGTTCTCTCCCCCAACCCCCCCCCCCCGTTTAGCTGAATCATTCTTAAAGAGACAGAACTCCTTAATGACTGCATTTTAAGCACTGTGACTCCATAGCCCTAATTTATTCCTCTCCTCCCCCCTAATGTCTTGGAATCAATTGCCATCAATAATGCCAAGAATCAGAATGCTGTTTAGGTTTTTTCATGTTTGTTTTTCGTGGACAGATTAACATTTTTATGTGGCTTTAGATTTTCTAAATATGCCTGGGAAGTCCGATTTCAAACAACATCTAAAGCACAGTCAACTTTATTTCTGAGTAAGAATTCTATAAAAGAATTTTAAGTATGAATCTTATTATGATTGTACTATAACCTTAAAACAACAAAAGTCTGTTCTACCAGTGGAGAAATGCTTCTGAAGACTGACAGAAGAAAAAACTATTTAGCAATTTATAATCAAAACCTAGCTTTATATTTTTAAAATAATTTTATTAAGCTTATCAAAATATACAGTACAAATGAAAATGAAAGTAGTGGGGAAATGGGGGAGGGAAAAGGGGAGAGAAAGAATGGTAGGGCCAAGAGGAAAAAGAAAAGAAAAGCTTTGACTCTCAGGTCTTTTTTAGCATAGTAGAATAAAATAAAATTACAACCTCAACTTTTTACTTTTACATACTTAATATGGATTAGCCATTTCTATGACAACAAACTTATCAGCAAAACCCAAAGTCAAAGTTTCATTCATTTCCCTTGTCAAGCATAAAATCCAGAAGTGATTTCCAAGCAGAAACCAAGTTGGATCTAGTCTTTTTTTTTTTATTAGAACAATTGATTTAGCCATCCCTGTTAGATCTGCCACTTTTTCCATCCATTGTGGGAATTAAAGTATCTTTCCATTTTTGTGCATAAATCATTGTTGCTGCTGTCAAGTATTATATAACAAAAAGGTTCCAGATTTTTTTAAGTTCTTTGTCCTTTAAATCTAAAAGCTTCTGATTTAATTTTTATATTCACTTTAAGAATCTTCTGCATTAAAATATGAATCTTACCACAGTATTTCTTTGCTAAAACCTACCTTTATATTATTACTAAAAGTAAAAGTTGTTATGCAAGCATTAGATTGTGAAATAGCAGGATGTGTATTGTAGCCTTGAGGTTTTTTAATGGCACATCTGTATTCCAGACGAAAGAGTTTGGATGAAACATAGGTGGGGGTTATAAATCTCAGATTTCCCAATTAATATAACCAAAAGTTAATTGGGAGTCAGGGAATTACAGTCCCAACACATCTGGAGACAATGAGATTGGGAAAATCTGATAGGACGTTTTGTGTCAGAACAGAACATGGAACAAGATGTTCTGTTTGAACTTTCCCAAATGAGCAGCAGCAAATCTTTCAACAGTGTAGAATTGCTAGGTTATTCTGTCCTCTCTCCAGTTCCACAGGGCCTCTTTGTCATCTACAGAAAGCGAACAGCTTCTACAGAAACCTCATAGTTTCAGCTAAGATTACACATCACTGCCAAATCAGACAGGATTTCATTCAATATAGTTTGAGCAAACAGTAGGGAAACTATTTTACCCACTGGTATGAATCTTAGCACTTTCCTCTTATTAATGTTGGCACTGTTATACCAAACTTTCTTTCTACAAACATGGAACATTGGATGTCTCATAAGAAAATTAACCCAACCGTTATCCTCAAACAACCAGTGATTCAGCATAGACTAGACTGATACTTCATTTTGCATCTGCAAGCTGAACAAAATTATACTTTTTAGTGAACTTATTTTTCAACCAATCAGGTTGTGAAATCTAGGAAAGTTTACTTCAGTATTTTTAGCTCTTTCATCTGTGAAACTAGAAAACTTTAATAAGAATTACAACCAAGCATTTAAATATTTATCAAAACTGCATTCAGAATAATTACATAATTTTTTTAAATTATATTAGGATCATTTCTGCTTTTATAACAACAGCTTTATAATAACACCAGGCCACAATTAAAATGACATAAGGCCTTTCTGCATTATTATTACCTTGGTACAATGGTAGTTGGAAGACTCTAGAAGACATGACAAAGGGCTAGTCTAGTGCAAGACAACTATAATGAAAAAGGTTATCACAAAGGACGAAGAAGCAGATATGTGACAAAGCAGATATTAATTTCTTAATGGAAGCAGAGGTTTGACAACAGAATCAGCTATCAAAAAAAGGTAGATGATCTCTTCTTTGCTAGATGCATTAAATGCCATTCCTGAACTCAGTAAAGGTTGGATACCCATTTTGGCAGGGGAATTCTGGGAACTGAAGTCCATATATCTAAAAGTTGCTAAGTTTGAGAAACTGAGAACAATCTGCTCTGGTTTCCAATTAATTTGTGAGAACAAAGCAAGCTGGGAATTCTCAGAGTTAGAGTCCCAATTCACAGAATTCCATGTTGGAAAGGGCTGGATTAGGGGAAACAATAAAATAAAAAAATCATGATCTCAGTAATGTTACATTGTGTGCTATATATGGATTACCCTGCCCATTTTTATAATTGGCCTGAAATTACGAATCAGCATTTTATGGCAGCAATAATTTTTTTTGCCAATAACGCAAAACATCCTGCTTGTGCAAGACATTTTTATAGCATAATAATGACTTTGGATTTCCTTCAAGAGATGACAAATGGTTTATATCAATAAGATTTTACTGGCTTTCAGGAAAAGAAAAATA